TAGGGTCTAGGTTAGGTGGACCCCCCACCCAGTAATAGTGACTGTCATGGATAATAGGGATTATATTAGGGTCCTCTTATATTCCTATTATACCACTATTACAGGGTGGGGGGTCCTCCTAAGGTCTATGGAGCTTTAAAGAGGGTTATAGGCTATAGGGGTTAGATATATAGGGGATATCTAAGTTCTCTAGGGGTTAGAATATTGGGTATCTAATATTGGGGTTATATTGGGATAGTGGAAAAGAAAATGGAAACTACTATTTAGGGTTTCGGGTTCAGGGTCTTGGGAAGAGGGTTTAGGCTGAGGGTGTGGGGTTTAGGGTTAAGGGTTTTAGGGTTTGGGTTTAGGGCTCCGTGCATCCCAGTTATGGTGAATGGATGCAACCCTGGCACCACTTTGGATCCACCGTTTGGGGTTTGAGAGGGTTGCAGAACATGTTTAAGGATCATTATCGTACTTTAGGGGTATATAAGAGGGACCCTTACTTCCCGCGAAGGTGCAACTCCTGGAGTTTTGGTACGTCAGGTAGTGCAAGATTTTCTCCAGCCGCAGTTTTTCAGCCACGTATCCTGTGCATAGGAGCCGCTCCCGTGTAAACTCTCGGTCGGTATACATGTTTAGGGTGCACGGTTCAGGGTTACCAGAATTGGCCCGTACCCTCCCGAAAGCGCAGTGTAAAGACTACAGAGAAAATTGCCCTTTTAAAATGGGGTGGCCATCTGGGCTTGCAAGTTGTTGCCCGGGAGGGCTATGACATCTTTGTATGCTCCCTATACCGCTCCTTGATACCCTTGTGATGTCCTAACATAGCTTCTGTGAATAAAATTCGCAAGCACAGTGCAGGTCGTTAAGAGAGTTCCACAGAACACGCAGCCAACAGAGTACCGGACACCACTCTATAGTCCCACTTAAGTAGATGGAATGTAGGGTATACGGGGATCTTATTATAATATACCCCAAGCCATATTCTATCTACTTAAGGGGGACTATAAACCCCATGCAATGATGGTTGGAGTTGCTCCGGATTATCCCCGTGCATTCCTTAAAGCCACCCCTATGACCTTGATAAAGTCCCTTCAGAATCCTCATATCATCTCAATACCCTCCCCAAATGCTTCCTGCTTTTGAAATCCCTCCCTAAACCCAAACCCTAAACCCATTTTTTCTGGCAAGCAGGTAGCACAAGATCTGGAAGCAGAGGTGGCAGCCGAAGCCCAGCAGAAGGAGCACCCCAGGGTTAGGGTTAGAGTTTGGCGTTTAGAGTTTAGGGTTTAGGGGTTCAGGGTTGGGGCCTAGAGGGGCTGAGGGTTTGGGGTTGCGGATTTCAGGGTTAGGGCGTGCAGCGGCTCTAATTGAGTATCACGATTATGGCCCTAAATTCCCTGTAGAAGTATGGGCTTTAGGGTTTGGGTTTAACGTATGGGGTACCTCAAATAGACCTCAACAGGATCTTGGTAATTGTGTGGGCCCCTACACTATTGGAGTTTCTCAAGCTGTTATCTTCCTGAAGGGTACCAATGACTGTATCATCTCAAGACATGGGAGTTACCCTAAATGGGGGAATCCCCAAACTATTTTCTTATTATGGGGACCCCAACAAAGGTAGCCCTAATATTAACGCTACCGCGCTCCGCCTCGGCCGGCTGAAGCAGGGTAGCTGTGAGAGTTGGTGGAAGAAAGGAGCCCACCTGGTTTACTGGGAGGGGGGGTAGAGTATTGCTCCCCCAAACGGATGGCCTCGGCGGATTTTGGGAAACCACCCAATGCAGCCAGAAGCATGTGGCCACTACCATGCACCTACCTGATGCTGTCGTCGACACTCCTTACAGGGGTCGTTACAAGGGATCACATAGTGGAGTATTTTCGGGGTTATTAAGCTGGATACTAGGAGCTCAGACTCTAGCTCGAATGATGCTAGGCAGCACCATCTTCCTCAGTAGCTCGACAGAATCGACACGATCAGTCAGTCCTTGAAGGACCAGATGAGCGGCCTGAGGCTGGCGATCTCTGGAGAGTCTCCAGAAGGGACCCTAAACCCTAAACCCTACACCAACAGTTTCAGCCGGTCCGTCATATGGTTCTGGCCAAAGCTCGGTGGAGGGGTGCTGACCCTCATCATGGGCGAGTGAGTGTTCGTCAATTCTGTATCTTAAGGGATTACGGTTTAGGGTCTAACTGTTGGTTGATATTGAATGCTGGCCCTAATTTTGAGAACTGCTCAGTTAGTTGCCCCCGCTGGCCACCAGCAAGCCTGTGTAGGGCAGCGGCGGCCCGAAGGCGGTGTGGCCAAGGTTAGCGGCCTCTTCAGGGGACCATGGGAGTGACTATGTGAAGGAAAATGATGCATAGAAGAAACGTGTGTTTTTTTAGGGGTGTGTATATATATATATAGAGAAGCATGTTCATATTATATATTATATGTGAATATCTGGGGTAGATTATGAGGTAGTCCCCCGTGTGATTATCCTAGAGAAGGCCACATTGCCGAATGTCTGCCATCACTTCTTGAGCCGCCTTTACACGTGCATGATGTGCTGCTTTTAAGAAGATCTTTGAAGCCGTAGAGAAGTGAATGCAGTTCATGTACCTTGCAAGATTGTCAAGATTTGCGGGACAGAAGGTTTCTCCGTGCATTCGGCGTCCCATGTGCCGCTGCAACCAGGAGAGATAATTGGACAGTCTTCCTGAGATCGCGCTGAACATGCTGCTTTGTTGTATGGGTATTTCCAGAACCTACATGGCGATCTGGCTCCAAATAGTTTAACCCCAAAAAATTGCGCTCCAGATGGACCAGATTTTTTGGAAAGCCCCATGTCTATTCGGTGCTCCACTTTTCCGCATGTTCTGCAAGCGTCAGGCAGGAAGCAGATCAGAGTTTCTCCAGTTACTGAATTCGGAAGGGGATGCAATGACGATCTCCTGACAATCCCCAGATGTGGGGGTTTCTCCGGATTAGAAGGGGAGGATGGGGGGTGTTTCTGAGATATCAGGGTCTATATACGGATTAGTTTGAGAAAGTCCCACATCTCTGGGGTGCCCTCTGGGGTACCCCATTTTGCGAAGTTGCAACACAGTACAAACTTGAATCAAAAGGCTTCACTTGAGGGTTGCAGAGAACCCTAAACCGTGGATCCTGTTGTGTGGCACAGGGAAAGTATAACTCTATCGCAGAAACAAAGCCCTTGCCAAATTACAGACTGTGATGTGGGCAGCGCTCAACCTTAATCCTAAACCCAAAACCTCAAATCCTCAACCTCAAATTCCCACCCGGCCTGCTTAGGCCGTTCTCGCCCATGACTAGGGTGGTCAGACTGAAGAGTCACGTCAGCCTTGACACCCGTACTGGTAAGACAATGGGAGGAGCAAGTGACGCATAGAGCTCTTGCGGGCTTCTCCCGTACATTGGGAGGCACAGCTCTGCCTCCAACCATTTCTAGTGGGCCAAATCTCTACAATGTACACTGATTTTCCCCTTGATTGGAATATTTTACACCCAAGGGCAAAATCCCTAGAATGATGCCAGGTAGGGAGCAACCAAGATTGCTTACTTCTACTCAAGAGCGGACCAGGTTTAGGGATTAGGATTGTGGTTTAAGGGTTTAGGTATTCAGGTTTAGGGTTTAGGCTGCTCCCACACCCACCCAGGGTGTCACCATGGAGAACTCATACGTGGTAGGAGCTGTGTTCCTGGCTTTGTTGTCCTGCCGTTTCAGTCAGCCCAGGTCAGCGAAGTTCGTGAGACCTCGCGGAAGCCCGATGAGATTTACAATCTCATAGCCCGCGCCTCATCCACGTCTTGGGGGCTTGCGAGTCAGCGTGCGACTTCTGTAGGTGTTCATTGGGCCTGGGCACAGACTCCTTTTTGGACGCTTGGGTTTGAGTATGTCCTGAACAGGGCCAAGAACCTCCTTCATGTGTGCAGTATGTGTGGATGTGCGATGGTTGACGGGGCTACAGTCCCATTTTCAGCTCGAGGCTAGCAAAAGCAAAGGGCACCCCGTTCCGAAAGGGTCTTTGACCATGAATCCATTATTCCGATTTTTTTTATTCTTATTATTCTTCTTCCTATTACTATTCTCATTACTATTATTGGTATAGAGGCTGGAAATCCTATCACCTCGGTGCCTCAACAGACAAAAAAGCACAAGGAGCGGATGTTTCCAAACTGCGCGAAACTGGAGCTGTTTGGCTGGGCACTCAGCTACTGGGTTTTGATAAGGAACTGAAATCCTACTATTTGCTATATACCCAAAGTATGGTAACTTAATTCAAGTTCCTTAACAGCAACCCAGACTGTTTCGGGGCAGCTCGGTTCTACAGGCTTGGTCATTTCATACGGCTCTTCAAACTCATTCTACTCGATTACCAGTTTTGAGATGTCGCTTTCCATGCTCAGGGGTGTGCAAGAGGTGCTTTTAAAGCCGTTCAAACCCGACCCGACACCCCAGACCCTAAACGACGCTAACGCAAGCCACCTGGACGTTCATCGCTCACCGTCCTAGGACTACGGGGCCCAAAGTGCTCTACCCTAAACCACGGACCCGCCTCGCTCTGAAGCCCTAAAGCCCTAAAGCCCTGAACCCTGAACCCTTACAGTCCCCCTCTAGTAGATGGAATATGGGGTGCATGATTATCTTATTATGAATTAGGTCAATTCCATATTCTATCTACTTAAAGCAGGCCACAACCTTAAAGCTGGAATCCATGAACTCGGGCTTACTTGGAGGGTCAGGGGGGCGTAGTAGGAGATGGAGAAGGA